GTGTCAGCGTCACCTGTGAGCTCATTGTTGTCCCGGTGCGCCGGATTTATTTCGATTCACCCGCGAAACTATTTGTGGGCGGTGACGTAGGAATCCCGTCCCGTGAGGCTTCGGGCGGAGCAACGCGCGTTCCGAGGTATCGGGCGTGGCCACAAGCGTAATCGACACGCGCCTCGGTGCGCGCTTCGCGGATTTTCTTCCGGTTTACTCGGCACACGCATCGGTACCTCGGCACAGTCGGGCACATCACTAGTCTGAACTGTGACACATTGAAATTGTTTTGAGACACTGCAGATATCATTTATATATAAAATGAATAGTTTTGGACCAAGCACAGACTCCTGAGAAACTCCATGAGTGATTTTCAGTTGATTACATTTTTTTATTGTTGAATTGCACATACTGATATCTGTTATCTAAATAACTTTTTATCCATTTATATGCTACACCTCTAATGCCATATCTCAATGTATTCAATAATATACTCTGATCTATCGTGTCGAAAGCTTTTTTTAAGATCTAGAAAAATCCCAACGGTAAATTCTTTATTTTCTGTGTTAGTGGCTATTGCTTCCACAAACTCCATTACTACCATTGAGGTGGTCCGTTTTTCTCTGAAGCCACATTGATTTTCACTTAACAGCACGTTTCTGTATAAAGTTATCAAGTCTGCATAAAAATAGTTTTTGTAATATTCTTGAGAATTGTGGTCATCGTGATATTGGTCTGTAATTTGTAAACAAATGTCTTTCTCCACTTTTATGAATGAATTTTCATTTTTGATGGAAAGATACCAGCTTTGAATGACGGGTTGCATATGTAAGTGAAAGGTCGCACTACAAATTCTACTTTTGTCATTCAAATATTGAAGCAATCAGTTGACTTTTATTTGTAAATGTTCTTCCAATATTTAATCCTTCTTTATGATTTACAGCAGTAAGGAACATTGTGGAAGTTTTTTTTCCATATATCTATTTTAACTCTCATACTTTTCATCAAAAATAGCAATGGAAAATACACATTTTACAATTTTTGTAAATTGTGTATGTTGCGTTAATCCAGAATTTTTTTTTTTTTTTTTTTTTACTTTCAACCAATCAAAATGTTCAGAGGCATCTGTGCTATCCATACACATAGTTTTTATTGATTTTTTTTTTCCTCTCTGGACAATAAAAGCAGTACTGTGCTATGACCCAAAAAAACCAAAAATATAGATATAAAACCTGAATTGGAAAATTTCATATCACACAATTAGAGCCTTGAAAAGGTCAATGAGTTATCAAAAAAAAATATGCATGCCAATTTTTGGCAATGGCCGTTTTGTGAAAATACCCCTCAACACGCAATTTTTACTAAAATTTTATATGTTTTGAGGTGTGATAACTAAGTCATTTATGAATATTTTTTTTATTTTCAACCACTCAAAATGTTCAGTGGCATCAGCACTATCCATACACATATAGTTTTTAATTATTTTATTCGTATTTTTTGCCCTCTATGGACAATGAAAGCAGTACTGTGCTATGTATATATCTATATTGAAAACCTGAATTGGAAAATTTCATATCACACAGTTATAGCCTTGAAAAGGTCAATGAGTTTTCAAAAAAAAAAAAATTATGCATGCCTATTTTTGGCAATGGCCGTTTTTGTATATAAATACCCCTCAACACGCAATTTTTACTAAAATTTTATATGTTTTGAGGTGTGATAACTAAGTCATTTATGAATATTTTTTACTTTCAACCACTCAAAATGTTCAGTGGCATCAGCACTATCCATACACATATAGTTTTTAATTATTTTATTCGTATTTTTTGCCCTCTATGGACAATGAAAGCAGTACTGTGCTATGACCACAAAATATATATCTATATTGAAAACCTGAATTGGAAAATTTCATATCACACAATTAGAGCCTTGAAAAGGTCAATGAGTTATCAAAAAAAAAATTTTTGGCAATGGCCGTTTTTGTATATAATACCCCTCAATGCGTAATTTTTACAAAAATTGTAGATGTTTTGAGGTGTGATAACTAAGTCATTTATGAATATTTTTTTTACTTTCAACCACTCAAAATGTTCAGTGACATCAGAGCTACCATACACATGTTTGAAAAGGAAAGTCACAACAACTATGTAGAATTTATAACAGAATTTATATAAAGTAATAACCCACCACCAAATACTGAACAAGAACAAACACTTTTTAGAACAAGAACAACAACACTTTTCAGAACTTTTTTTTTAACAATTTTTACAAATGTTCTTCATATGTTTTCGGCACATGGGGGTCCCACACTTCTCACATGCATTTGATGCGATTCGTCTCTCTGTGCAGAGGCCACATTGCCTTCGCTTGGACGAAGGCAATGTAAGCGAAGACAATGTGGCCTCATGTTGCTGCACTGCAGTCTGCATCTCTCCTGCAGCAGTCTCTGGCTTTCTCCGCCGAACCTCTGGCAGGGTTAGCGCATTGCCAACCTCCTCGAGGAACAGCCTTCTTTTATATAGTTTATTGGCATTCCATGTTGTGTTCACAGCCGTGTACAGTAAAAACGCATTGAATGCCGAAATGTCCAACATGTGGAAGAACAAGCACATTGGCCACCGTTGTGCTCGCTGGCATGTTGAATACATTCCACATGCCTGCAAACAGACACACACACATACGCGTTTATATGCTTTACGGGGACCACTTTTTTGTTCATCACTTTCGGGGACCACCCTTTCCAAATGACTTACAGCTCTGCAAAAAATCAGGCATACACAAGGTGGTGGTATTAGCTTATACACACCTTTAAATAACAGAATTTATGAAGTCATGTTTGGACGGTGTCTTTTGGGGACTTCAGAAAAGTCGACTTTATATGCGTGATGGGGACTTAATTTCAATATATTTAAATATATTTACATAATTCACACAACATCCATAACAAGTACATGTGAAAAATGGGGACTTCACACAAAGTAAAATTAATGTGAATAATAATCATTGAAATCATATATTTTTTGTTTGTTAAATGTCGTGAGACTGGAATATGTCTGCTTCAGAGAACGGAAGACATCTCTGGCTTTTTCTTCCAACCAAAGAACCGGCCAATTCCAAACAGTATGAAGAGCTTTTATTAATTAAAACCCTTATGGAAAAAACGTCCCATTGTGTGATAAAACACCAAAAAAGACTCAATGTCTATCTTAAACAAAAACATCAAACAAACTGTTGACATCGTTTCAACATACATTCAAATTGAAATATCCATTAGGAAAATAAAAGTGCCTCAACAGGGAGTTTTTGATTGAAAACTTATTTGTGCTGCAATTTCTTTTTGGCAGCCGAAATGCGGTTATAAACATAAAATTTGAGGGTTCGCCAGTCTCGTGTTTTAAGGGCTTCTGGTTCAGCCCTTAAACATCTTTCACATTCCATTTTTCCTGGGACAGAAAAAGATTTGATGAATCTCATCATGTGCCTTTCCACTGCCTTTATTTCACTCTGCTGCCAGGGCGTTCTCTTCCTCTTTCCTTGAAGTAGCGAGAAAAAAAATAGTTTTGTTATTGAAACAGTCATGGAGAGTAGATGATTGAATTCCAATCTAAGTACATAGATTCATACTGTCATTCTAACATCACTATGCATACTGTCATTTGGACTGACATTTTGCTGTTCAATGAGCAACAGAAGCTGCACTGTTGCATCATTTCACAACATTTTCAGAACAAATGTACCATTCAGAGATTACTTTAAAATGCACATGAAAATGAGATAATCATGTGTCAGTGATAAATTACGCTTATATCTTAATTTGGACAGTGAAAGTACATTTTCTTAAAAGCAGCATGATTTTTAAGAGTTTACCTTTGAAGGAAGATCTCTTTGCCGGAATAGCTGATGGAATTTCATCATCATCATCTGATGATGATGATGGCCTGTGTTGATTTGATGATGGTGTGTGTCTCTTGGGTGTTAATAGGCGCAGATCATCACTCTCACCTCTTTGTCCTATGGAAAATGATTTTTCCAAATTGTGATTGCACTCATAGAAAATTGAAGCTTTATCACTTTCATTTTTCAAATTTGTCATAATCTTTAGAAAAGATACCCAGCAGAAAATTCTGCTGGGTATTTGACTGTTGAATTCCTCTCGCCTTTATAAACAAAGGAAAGGTGGTTGGTTTCAGAGCCAATTATTCTTAATACGTATATTGTCAGAATAAATAATTTTAATCTCAATTCAAACAAAAATGCGCTAAAACAAACAAAAAAAAACCTTTGGAGGAACACTTCTTAGATTTGACTCCTGATGGCTGCTCATCAGCATCCAATGATGGTGGTTTGCATCTCTTGTGTGGTTTGCTTCTCTTGTGTATGATGTCACCGCTCTCAGTTTCATCCATGGGTGTGCCTATGTAAAAAAAAAATTACAAATTGTGTTGACACTGAAAGCGAACTGATAGGCTCTATTATCATTTTTTACTATTATCTTACTTTTATATCCATATATGGAATGTGCTAACAAATTTAAAGGTCATCCACGGTTATGATACCATTCTAAATGCATTTCTATGTTCCAGTCAATTAAAATGTTCTTTGCAGTCAAACTCAATCGCACAAATCATGTCTCTCATTTCGTGAATTGGGTGGCTTGGTTCACCCCTATTATTCCACTATATATTGCAACCATTAAACAAGCACTGGAAGACTAACAAATGTCTTCTTCTGACAAGACAGTACATACCATCTTCAGTAAGCATGTTTTCATCATCTTCGTCACTCTCCAGTAATTTTTCTGTGTAAATCATACAAAATGCAGTTTACTATTTTTACTCAAAAATTAATAGATGGCAAATACAAAAAAAAAAAAAAACAACAACAACAAACCATCTGGGTCAATTTCGACTTCATCCAAGGTCTTCCCATGAAACTGAGCGACTCTTCCCTGCTCAAGAGCCATCAGGAGTTTGCTGACCTTAGCAAGCTGTAAGGTCTTCTCAGGGAGTCTGTAATATTCTCGATGGACCCGGATGTCATGGCCAAGAAAGTTAGCCAACTGGTCCATTTCCGAGTTCGTCAAATTGAGCACTGTTGACAAAGTTGCCGCATGCTTGCGCAGTTTGGTTGATGTCAGTGCCCTGGGACATGCAGCACCGCATTGCATTGCAAATTTACGGAAGCAGTCCGACCCTCTAAAGTGCGTCATGGCCCCTGGTCGCGCAAACAAATATTTGTTGTCTTTCAGAACCCCACAGGCCTCTCTCTTTGACACAAGGAGTTCTATGGCACTGAGCATTTTCCGTGTGAGAAGAATGGGTACTGGGCGTCCACGCTTTCCTCTGATGACAATCCTAGTGAAATGCCTGCAGAGTTTTTTCTCCAATTCAGAGAGTGCCCAGTCCACATCCTCGTGTGGATCAGAAGGGTCTCTTGAGAGAAATGCAGATAGGGGCATGCTTGACACCTCTCCCTCCGTGCGCCGGTTAAAGAGGATGAGTTGGACAACGCACACCCTTGTCAGCTCCTTCCAGGCTTTTGCAGAGGAATATTCAGAGAGGTTTTCGGACCATTTGTCTTGCTCTTTAGTGAGATATGCATGCAGGTTTTGTACATCTTTCGTGAAGGGCATGACACTGGGCACATTCCACTTTGCTTCCCTGATGTTCCTCAATGCTGTAGCTGAAATCAACTCATGCCACTTTTCCTGATGGACCGCGTCAAAGTTGGTGGCATCCTTAACAAGCTTCTCATCATTTGAGAGTAAACCCTTAGCTTTTAGGAGTTTACTTATTTTAACTAAGGAGTGTCCAAGTTTGTTTGCAAGTGATGGAATCAAGAAGCTGTTTGATTCGCTCTCATATCCGCATGTGAACTTGACAGCTTTAACAGTCTCCATGTACTTTACTGGATTAATGAGATCTTCCATATTTTTCAAGGAAGTCACTCTTCTGGCACCTTGAATCAACCTTCCCAATTCCCGCATCTTCTGTCGTACAAGCTCTTTATTCTTGGCCGATGTCCCTCTTTTATTTAATAAGTGTTGCCCAAAATCAATAATGACTTGGTCATTTTTTATTATTTGAGTGATTGGGCCAGGATTCATGGCAGTAATTACTCTCCACAGCTCTTCACTCGTGCTTGTCGGCACAGGTCCTGTGTATGTACACATGGCCTGAACACGGTTCTTTCCTGGCTTGGGGGCAACAGATCCAGGTTTCAGTTGACATTTACGCATGTGTCGCCAGAGAACTTTACGTAAGAAAAGTCCCTGACAGTATGCACAGTGCATAAAATCATTTCCCTCTGCCTGTTTAGGAGGACGTTTGAATGGCACCAATGCTCCCTTTCCTGACTCCAAAACAGAAGCGTTGTGGGCATAGTTTCCTTTGTTTCGAATATAATCCAATTGCTTTTTTCTTTCACTTGAGCCTTTTGGAAAGCTTGCAGCACGAGCAACTTCAGATGTATCGCTATGTGCACGTTCTAAGTGCCTTGCCATCTTAGCATAAGGCTTAGAACAGGGGTGGGCAAACTTTTTAGCTCGGGGGCCATATTGATTTCTAAATTTGACAGGTGGGCCGGGTCAGCACAAGATGTGGTATATATAAAAAAAACGTATATGTTGACAATCCATACCAAACATCAACAGAACAAAAGCATTCAAGTATTACCATACTTTTTTTCATGAGAACAGTGAGATAACTATGGTATATGTCCGGTATGAACGTCCAAGTACGGTATGTTAACAACATACATTGGTGACAACACAAGCAACAAAGTGCAACAATATATTGTCCAAAACCTGCGGCATACAGTACAGGTATAGTATATGAGAAAATATAACAAAGGTAGGACTATTTGCTCCAAAATGAGACGAGTAAAAGACCTGGTGGCTTTCTTTCCACTCACTCACTGTCTCGAACTCGACCTCCCCTCGATCACCACACAAGACAGCGTTGCTCAGCTGATGTCGTGCTTCGAACTTTTGAAGCCAGCCACAGGACGCTCCGAAGTATTCAATGCCCATAGTTAGCGTTATGGAACTCGCTTTCTCTCTAGCAAGAATCGCTTCCTCGTTTTACAAAGTCTCGTAGCTTTGAGTCTTCCAGACTCCAAGCGTCTCCTTAATGTTTCGTACTTCGTAACCTACTTTGTTTAATGAGATACACTTCATTTTCTCTTCCGCGGCCATTACCGCTCCTCTTTGTTTGGATGCCATGCTCTAATAAAGGATGTAAAAATGTTCGCAATTCCAGTAAAACTCACTGCAACAAAGAGTCGCTTGCATGTCGCCGTTTTGGATCCAATGACAGAAAATAGCGGTGGAGATACATCTATTTCGTCGTATCGAGCGCGACTTACTTGAGTTAGTGCTACTCCGGGCTTCCGTATCGTCTCCCCCTCCCTCCTTGTGCTCTGCGACTTCAAGTAACTGCGCCACCTGGCGTTTAAATGCCTGTATTACAAGTCCAAATGAAATGAATGCAATAATTTACATCGAACCTTAATTGTGTACTGTACCAACCTTCGGCGGGCCGGATTAAAAAGACCAACGGGCCGGATCCGGCCCGCGGGCCGTAGTTTGCCCATGTCTGGCTTAGAACAATACAAACAATAATGTCTCTTGTCATACACTCTTTTCCCACCCTTTTTCTTGCTTGGACAAACAAATACGGCGCCTGTTCTTCGACTTGAACACTGATCACGTTCTCCACTGGGACCAGATTCTTCATCTGTTCCACTGTAAGAGGGTTCTTCTGCTGCACATATCATCTCGTGTTGTTGAGTCACAGATAGGGGAACCCATGGCAGCTATATCATCAAAATAAAGATGTTTTGTCATCGAGGGTGCGTTGAGTTTGATGCTAGCCTCACTGTCAGTATCACTTTTGGAGGCGGTATCAGGGATGAAATCATCTCCGCTTGATGGCGTGGAATAAAAAAGTTCATCTGAATCTTCAGGAATGATATCTTTCATCTGAAATAAATGTAAAATACTGTTTCAATTGCATAAATAGAATGAAATTCAAATAAAATTAAATTTATTAACATTTTTACAATGAAGAAAAAAGTAGCAAAAGTAGATTAAAGTGAAAAACATGCCAACAACCATCACGCTCATCAACAAATGTCATGGCAAAATATTAATCTTACTAACTCAAATTTTAGTAGGGACATAGAGCAAGCATTTCAGCTATCAACTAGCCTTCCTCCTGTAAAGTCAGAAGATTGCTAAAAGGTGTGTGATTAAAGGTGTGGATCATCTAAAACAGATGGCATTTAACATATATTCATATCATCTGATTGTTTGGGCTCTGAGTACAAATTGAAACTTCACACCTTAAACAACACATCAACTGGCAATCCACACACCATCATGAAACAGTGAAATGTGATTTTGTTTACATCTAGAGTGCACCAGTCTCTTCTTTTGAATTATATTTAATCATAGACTCCCTTTAATGGTACGCAACAATCCAAAATACTTCTGTATTGAATTGAGAATTTTACAATTATCGAAATTAGGTCTTGCTCCTAGTAACAATGTTTAAAATGTATATTTTGATGAAGATTTTAGGTGAAATAAGATGGCAAAGTATTTTTATGATACAATCCATTCAATAGCTAATTATTAACTGATCTAAATGCATTTCCAACAAGTTAAAAAAAAAGGTTCTTTGTAATCAATTTTGCTTTGCTTTATATGATGGATAAAAACGTACAATGATACTTTTGGTTCTTCTCAATCTTGGAACACATTCCACTGGTATTTCCAGATTCTGCAAATAAAACGGAAAAATAAAAATGTAACATCAAACAATATTTAAAACGGAAAGGTAAAATTAGTCAGATCCGGAATCCCATCTCCAGGCAATCTCTGGCTCCATCATCACAAATGCACAGATATAGATATACCAAATGGCATGAATCAGTGATTGATATGAATATACCTGATGTGTGCTGCTTGGACCAGCAGTATCGCAACAGGGGTCATGTAAAGGAGCCTCTTTGGGTGTTATCTTGGTCATCTGTAATACAATAATTTGAACATATAACTGTGATGATGTTTGTATTACTTACTTTTACTTTTATTTTCCTTTCATAATTTTTGTTTGCATTTTGTCATGTTATTGTATGTTTTATATATGTTCAATAAACAAACAAACAAACAAACAAAAAGAAAATAAAATTGGAGAATATGATGGAAGAAATCGATAATGAGCCTCAAGTAAACCATTTAAAATATAGCAGCACAAATCTGAGTGAACAACATCTTGTAAACCAGTGTTTTCTGCATCTTAAAATCAAAGACTTTGTGGGGACATTTGTGTCAACACTTTTTCAGTTCTTTATGTGGACCATATTAAAACACTTGACACCGTTTTCCCGCCTCACACACACTTGGTCAACGTGTGGTGTGGGGACACCGTGAGGGTCCACAAAAGAGAAAGAATTACAAAAGATAATCATCCCTGTGACAAATTAACCCTACCTAAAAAAGGCTACGAACACTAACCTTCCCAATGCATTTTGTGAAATTGCCTGTTGTGCGTAATTACAGTACTTTATCATGAAAATTATTGTCCATCATCACGAATGCACAAATCTCGAGATACCAAATGTCATGAATCAGTGATGGATATGAATATACCTGATGTGTGTTGCTTGGACCAGCAGTATCACAACAGGGGTCATGTAAGGAAGCCTCTTTGGGTGTTATCTTGGTCATCTGTAAGACAAAAAGAAAAGAAAATTAGAGAATATGATAGAAGAAACCGATAATGAGCCTCAAGTAAACCATTTAAAATATAGATGCACAAATCTGAGTGAACAACATCTTGTAAACCTGTGTTTTCTACATCTCAAAATCAAAGACTTTGTGGGGACATTTGTGTCAACATTTTTTCAGTTCTTTATGTTGACCATGTTAAAACACTTGACACCGTTTTCAACCCCCTCACACACACTTGGTCAACGTGTGGTGTGGGGACACCGTGAGGGTCCACAAAAGAGAAATAACTACAAAAGAAGATAATCCCTGTGACAAATTAAGTCTACCTAAAATAGTCTACTAACACTAACCTTCCCAATGCATTATGTGAAATTGCCTGTTGTGCGTAATTACAGTACTTTATCATGAAAATTATTGTCCATCATCACGAATGCACAAATCTCGAGATACCAAATGTCATGAATCAGTGATGGATATGAATATACCTGATGTGTGTTGTTTGGACCAGGAGTATCGCCACAGGGGTCTTGCAAAGTAGCCTCTTTGGGTGTTATCTTGGTCATCTGTAATACAATTAGGAAAACAAAATTGTAGAATATGTTAGAAAATAACAATACTGAGCCTCAAGTAAACCGTCTAAAATATAGATGCACAAATCATCTGAGAGAACAACTTCATCTTGTAAAACTGTGTTTTCTACATCTTAAAATCGAAGACTTTGTGGGGACATTCTTGAAAACACTGTTAGTTCTTTTTGGGGACCATATTAAAACACTTGACAGTTTTCCTCTCTCACACACATTTGGTCAATGTGTGATGTGGGGACACCGTGAGGGTCCACAAAAGAGAAATAACTACAAAAGAAGATAATCCCCATGACAAATTAAGTCCGTCTAAAATCGTCTACTAACACTAACCTTCCCAATGCATTTTGTGAAATTGCCTGTTGTGCATAAGTACAGTACTTTATCATGAAAATTATTGTCCATCATCACGAATGCACAAATCTCGAGATACCAAATGTCATGAATCAGTGATGGATATAAATATACCTGATGTGTGTTGTTTGGACCAGGAGTATCGCCACAGGGGTCTCGCAAAGTAGCCTCTTTGGGTGTTATCTTGGTCATCTGTAAGACAAAAAGAAAAGAAAATTAGAGAATATGATAGAAGAAACCGATAATGAGCCTCAAGTAAACCATTTAAAATATAGTTGCACAAATCTGAGTGAACAACATCTTGTAAACCTGTGTTTTCTACATCTTAAAATCAAAGACTTTGTGGGGACATTTGTGTCAACATTTTTTCAGTTCTTTATGTTGACCATGTTAAAACACTTGACACCGTTTTCAACCCCCTCACACATACTTGGTCAACGTGTGGTGTGGGGACACCGTGAGTGTCCACAAAAGAGAAATAACTACTAAACATTCATCATCTGTTATGTTCACTTGTTTGTTGTTCATCATCATCATCATCAAAACTGTTAAATCGTCATTGGAGTTCGTTTAAGTCGGGGGTGCCCACTCTTTTTTCAATATATCGACCGCACGTGCACATACAGGCACGCATACACTCACACATACGCATCCACGCACGCATGCATGCCATAATGGCCCAGAACATGAACAAAACAGACAAAGTCGATAAAGGAGTTTCTGAAAAGGAAATCACTGCCGACCTTGGGGACGAATCGACGTTGAGGCATGGAACGCACTTTTTCAGCGTGCTAAGTGTAAGACCATCACTACCCAAGCTCACGTGTTATCTTTTAAAATACTCCAGATTCACATTCTTTGCTAGTGCCAATTTTAAAATGGATATATCGCAACAGCTCTAACCGCAAGCTGCAATTGCAGACTGTTGACCGCTAATAACTTCTGGTGATGCAGGTCATGCGCCACCCTAAATTAAAATTGACTTGCTTTTTTATTTTAATTTAAAAAAAAATGTGAAAGTGAAACTGAAAGAATGCTGAGGTTGCAGTGTACACTAAAACAAAAATATATTCAGTAATCCCTCGCCCTAATGCGGTTCACTTTCCGCGGCTTCGCTGTTTCACTGATTTTTTTAGTGCAGTTTTTTAAATGCTTTTAACCCTTTAAATCAGAACGTTCGGCGGTGCTGCGTGTCGACAGTACAGTATTTCCAAAAACTATTATAGGTATTTGTTGAAAACGTTTGGTTTTATTTATTTGGTAATTGGGCTTGAAAACAGGTTTTGGTCTTTGATTTCATTGTATATGTAGTTAAGGATTGTACAATAACTGTAAAAAAAATAAAGTTCACTACTTCACGGATTTCACTTATCACCGGTTCTTTTTGGAATGTAACCCCCGCGATAAACGAGGGATTACTGTATTAATAACACGCACACAGACAGGCAACTTTTTTTCCCCCCATTTTAACCCACACCCATCGCGATCGATTTGCGACCAGTTCACAGGTTGATTGCAATTGACAGGCTGGGCACCATTGCTTTAAACTACTGAGAGTTATTCAATCACACGAAAAAGGGAAGTGAATAAAATGTATCTACCTCCTGGAGCATGTTGAGTGGACACCTATCATCCTCCATCTGACTCTGAGGCAGAGAAGAGGGTTGAGGAGCCACATCTGTGACTGTCATGCTGGTCATCTATAAAGACAATCAACAATGATAGAGACTCAGAATATTATTGATCAATCGGCCATCAGATCAGATTTGCAATTTGCAATGGGGGCAGAAAATTTCTGGTAAATTCAGTCATCCTTCAAGACAGGGGTGTCAAACTCATTTTTGTCGCGGGCCACATAATGTCCGTTTCCCTTGGAGGGCCGTGATGACTGAAACTATGTAAAGAAGTCAAGAATAACGTTTTATTAACTATTGTTTGAGTAACTGTCATGAGGGGTTTGGTAACAAGAAAATGCTTACAACATGTCACTGATTTATTACATGTTAAAATTTGAAATTTTGGGTACATATTTTAGCAAGTATCATGGAAGTTGTCATCTTTGATTTGCTTTCGCGGGCCACTGAAAATGATGTGGCGGGCCACATCTGGCCCCCGGGCCCTGAGTTTGACACCATGCTTTTAAGACATTACAGATCTTTTTTTTTCTGATTCTAAGAGATAATAAAAAAATCAATGATCAAGATGCACTTAACTTTCAACAGTATTTTAGAAATTGAATTACCACTTGCTATGGGTTTAGGTTTCAGAATATAATTAGTCAGACCTCGGTTTTCGACCACAATCCGTTCCAGAAGGCTGTTCGAAACCGAAACCACGCTATTTCTTTTTTTTAATATCTTGATTGAACATGTCTGCTCACAATGAAAAGCTACACGGGGAAGCGCCACTTTCTCATCAAGCCGAGGAAGCATCACTTCCTCGTGTAAGGAAGGCGAGAGGAGTCAAGTGGCACATTCAAGTGCGCTCAGTTTGGTCGAGAACCGATTTTCGGTCGTAATCCAAGGCATAAAAATAAATAAATAAAAAATACCTTACAAGTAAGGAAGGCGAGAGGAGTCAAGTGGCACATTCAAGTGCGCTCAGTTTGGTCGAGAACCGATTTTCGGTCGTAATCCAAGGCATAAAAATAAATCAATAAAAAATACCGGTAATTCGAAATTTTTGGTCGTTCGAAAACCGAGGTTTGACTGTATTTGAAATGTGTTCCAACCTATTCCAAACACCTGCCATAGCTGATAAATTTGATTCGCTATGGCAAATTGCGTCCATCCATTTTCTAATCAGTTTATCCTCACAAGGGTTGAGGAAATATCGGAGCCTATCCCAGCCGTCTCTGGACAGTAGGAGGGGTACACCCCGAACTGGTTGCCAGCCAATTGCAGGGTACAAATAGACGACACCCATTCGCACTCACACCTCGGGACAATTTAGAGTATTCCATTAGCCTGCCATTCATGTGTTTAGGAATATGGGTGGAAAATTTGACTCATATTATTTCCAGAAAGATTCTACTATTCTTATTCTAACTGATTTCATCAAAGTTACTTCCATTCTTATGACACGGAGCCATTCTGTATAATCTGCAATGTATGACACACTTGTGTTCTCCATGGGCAGTCTTCGCCACCATAATCGTAGGTAATTTCTTCTCCGTCATGAATATCAGTCAAAGCAAACAAACACAGGTGTGGCTTTCCATCTACATCAATCCATTTCATCCGGCAGTTTGGCCTCCTGTGTTCATCATTCACGAGACGGCCAAATGACTCATCTTCTCGTGAAGCATCAATGCTTAACAAATATGTGAAAAAGAACAATATGAGATCATTATCACAATATTCTGATATGGTCTATACAGGGAAACTCCTCGACAACCAAATCAACATGTGTGAAAATACCCCCCCTTCCCCCCCCGAGTGTGGAAAAAAATCTTCATGCATGAATGCCATACCTACTTTTCTGCTTCCCCCAACAACGAAAAGTCCCCCTGTTGCGTAATACGAAATCCTTTTCTCCATTGCCTTGCAATGACGTTCACTAAAATGAAAACAAGCATTCCGCAAAAGTCTAATCGACCCTCAGCCTGCGACAGCCACCGCTACTGCTTACAGAGATGAAAGTGGACTTTTCTGAAAATTATATATATATATATATATATATATGTACAGGTATATACTGCATATATTGTAATATCTGTTTCTTGTATTTGGTGACGTCATAGAGAGGGGACGAGCCAGGTTGGGGAATATTAGCTCCGGCAGGTAGTCTGAGTGTAGAGCACATGGGCGTGAGTTGTGGCCAACAGCAACTCCGATGAATGTGTGTGTTATTGCTCTATATATCTCCGAGATATGGCGAGGCCATGAGAATGCGAGGCAAGGGTATTACTGTTGTGGCGATGCCACTCGAGCGAAGCGCGCCTCAGCAGTAGATAGTCCGCTGCTCTCTGCTGCGCGTGCGTCAGCGCGAACATGTACGCAAGCGCGCCTTTTGATTTCAACCAATCAGCGCCGATGCAAATGACGTCACACACGACAACAGCTAAGCTAAACTAGCTAAGACGACACTCGAAGTCAGACGGACACGTTTTTCTGCCAATCTGTGTGTTTCCCTTTTTGTCCAAATATATTTTTTACGACAACAACTGTCTTGTTGACGGCGTCTTTTATTCATTCCACTGGGGTTTAGCAAGTGTGTTTATAAAGAGACGAAAATCTCTTTACTGTTAGTAGTGTTTGTGCCTCAACATGGCTACACTCGTGAAAGCAAAACAACAAGCTCAAACACGTGTTCGTTCAGTGTTGTCAACTAATATCCGGATTAATTTTAGGCAATTTTTCCTCAATTCCCCGGAGAAATTTTCATTAAAATTTGAAAATCCGGAGGACTTTCATCTCTGTGCTTAGCACGGAAACGGCAATCGCAACCACCACACTGGCTTACACATGCGCAGTAGTACAGGAAGTGTTTGTTATCGTTAGTTTCACACACAGCACGAACGTTGCATTGCTAAAATGGCTACAAAACGGACCTTTGCAGACCAAGGAGTTAAGAAAAGAAAAGCTTTAACGTTTGAAGACAGGATAAAAGTCATAAAAATGAAAGATGGAGGAAGCAAAGTATGTACATTATGCAAGAAATCGATGTAAGTGAAAGTGAATGCTGATCGTAAATTTTGTAATTTCTTTCCTTTTTTCCCTTTGTACGCCGACCATATGAAGTGTCAAAAGTGTATGCTCATACGTATGCACTGTTGGAATAAAAATAAAGAGTAAACATAGATGTTTTGTGTGTGTGTGTTTACATCTGAAATAAAATTAGCTATCGTGAAAATTCCCTTGTTGTGAAAATTTTTTGGCTGCAAACATGATTTCGTTGTAGATGAGTTTCACTGTAGTGGTGCAGAATAGGTGGATAAGTCTTACCACCATGTTTTCCCTCTCCACTTGAATGCAAACATAAATGCAGCACAGGATGGGTGGTAAACTCTTCTTCTGCGCTGGAATTCTGCATCGTTGATCAGATCTCCCCGATACTCAGCAACAAATTGTCCTCTGCTGATTGTACTCTCTGCAAATATTCCACGTCCTGTAGCAGACAGCAACAATAGTTTTTCGGGGAAAAAAACAGGCTTGGCAATCTATTCTTCCATTATTGAGAGGTCCATGTTAATTTAGAAAACATATCTTGTTGAATAAAATTTTTCATTTGTTCGGTCTCACATGGTGTTCTACTCAAGACAAGACGTGGAATTATTTATATAATGCCTTGTTTACAAACTGAGTCGGAACCTGCAAAACTAAGATCAGGGTTTATATTTAATGAAGCTCATCTGATAATAACTGTATATGTTTTATCAACAGTCTATGCCATATCATGTAATAATTACTCAGCATATAACATCTTAGCAGCAGCAAACAACACCTTACCTTTAACTGCATTTATGTACTTCACACACAATTTGCCAGTTTTGTCAGTCCTTAATGAAACGTGACGAATGGCGTCTTGAAGGGGGCCGACTCTTTGCGGCATTTCAAACTTGAGAGAGACAAAGAGTTTGCATTGTATTCAGTCAAAATTGATTTATACTGTACAGTATTTTGAACATATAAACACAACATGAAAGACATTTAAAAAACTAAATAAAGGAAAAAAATATCACTTCATGTCTTGGTTCAGTACAGTTTACATGCTCAAAGGAAATAGAAGTACAAAAACTTGTCTAGTTGTACCCCTTGATCTTTATAAATTTCGGGAGTAAGCTACAATTTGTTTGATTTGAAATTGTTGAACTGTACATATTAATATACAAAACATAGTTATCTATATAGTGCTTTCACAACAGCTGTGGCTCTCATCTAAATAGCTTTTCAACCATTTATGTGCCAAACATCTGTTAACAGGGGTGCCCAGCCTTTTTTGACTGAAGATCGACTTTTGAAGCGACCAAACGCCCGCTATCGACCCGATCGCAAGCATGCAAGCATACAAACATGCACGCACGCCGGTCTGCTACTATGTGCGTGCATATGCACGCACGCATGCCACAATGAGCAACATAAATCTTTTTACCCCCATTCCCCCCTCCACCCCTCGCGATCGACTTGGGACCAGTCTGTGGGAAACTTCCACAATTTACATTATTGCCATAGATGTTGCCTTTTCTCTCTGAAACTGTATTGCTTAAACGATTATGTTTTGCAACACATTTGTCAAGTTTGTGTGCAAATAGTTGTTCTACAATTTTTGTCTGAAAAATATTGGTCTGTAATTTGTAAATAAGTGTTTCTCTCACACTTCTGCTGTTTTCAGTTTTGATGGGAAAACACTAGTTTTGAAAGACGGGTTAAATAAATATGTGAGAGGTTGTACAACATATTTTAATACTTTTTATTAATACCATATCAACATTAAAACAGTATACTTTATTTTTTAGTGTTATAACTAAAATGGATGGATCATTGGATAATGATCCATCCATTTTCTAAACCGCTTATCCACACAAGGGTTGCAGGCATGCTGGAGCCTACTTTTAACAATATTAAATATTTACAAATTATTTACAGAACTAAGGAACATAGTCCAGGAATTGTTCTTTATATATTTATTAATTTCATATTCTTTGAGTCCGGAATTTCACAATTAGAAATATTACTGTTTCACAAACAGTGTGCGTGTTCTCTATATATTGCTCATCTCACTTAACGAAAACGATACAGTAGTTGAAATAGTTAAGCTTTTAATTTTAATCGGCAGTGGCGTTTTGCGTGTTTAGCATTTAGCTTTAGCGTAGCGGTAGCCGTAGCCGATCTCGGCAGTTTAGCTTGTCTCAATCACCTACGCTACTTGCAATACTCGACAAAAATCCACGCAGGCTTCGCTAGTCGCGCTAGCACGTAATGGATTTTGAAACTGCGGTAAAAAAAAAGTTAAACAGGAATAGTCACCCCTCGTTCGTCATCACACTCAGTTGTCCGAGTGCTCCGGTGGCAGCCTGAAGCCGTTCGCCACGAGACTCGGCCACGACCGTCGTGTCGGGTGACCGCCGAGGCAGCGTTGCCTCCGGCTCTCATTCAAGTATGAGATGCACCCGAAAAAAAAAAATACCCCGAGCTTCAATGCTTATAATACATATGTCTTTTAAAATGGAGGAGACTTCGCCTAATTGTACATGTACAAACTATAATCACTGTATTTTCAGTCGCCAATTAGGGTAATAAAGCAGTGGGGGGAAGCTCCGGCCTACAATAGGTGTTAATACAGTGTCGCCCGCGATGCTTGTTAATTCATAGAAAATAGCAACAATAGTCTTATTTTATTATGTACATTTTTAACATTACACAAATAAATAACTTGTGAATTCATAGAAAAATGCTTACCTTGCGTTTGACTATTTCCTGTTGTGCTGCCATCTTCTCGCTTTGCAGACTGCTTCTGATGATCACTAATTGAATGATCACCTGTTCCACTTGTTGTAAAAATCCTTCCATTAGGGGACCAAATGGGCGGGGCATATGCAAAGTGTGTGTGTGGAGCAGTGAGTGCAATAGCACCAAAAAATCATGTGGGGGGCTGCTGAGCACCAGTCACACACAAACAATCAGTAAAAATGGTGACTTATGGGCCTTTGCTAAAAACTTCACAGGCACATTCAGGGCAGCCCCTCTGATGCTTTTTATATGTTATTCTTATGGGGACCTGCTTTTTTGTCCCCAGACGGCAACTGGTCCCCAGGACGTGACTGTGTAAACAATTTTATGTCCCCACAACCATACATAAACGAGAACACACACACACACACACACACACACAAAAAAAACATCAGATGACATAATTGACAAGACAGCTTTGATAAACACTTTGTGACAATGACACAACTTGTGCTTACCTGGTCCAAGTGATCCACGGCTCCCTTGGATTTATTGTAATCAATAATCATTTGTGGCTTTCTCTTGCCCCCGTCCTCCATTTTTGGCTCTTTATGTGCTGTGCTGAGCACCAGCACATTTTTCCCTTTTTTGGGAATGTATGATACCACAGCCAGGTCTTTGGTGAAGCAAAAAATGCTTGAGAGGGGCTGCCTTCCTGCAATTTGGGTAATTTCTGCAGGGAGCTCCGGCTTGTTCCTCCTTACCATACCCAAAAGGTAGTTTTTTTTTTTAGTTCTTGTGCAAGCGGTATGGAGGTAAAAAAATTGTCCGTGGTGATTGTGTGCCCTTCCAGCGAGTCCTTGAGCCCCAGCACCACACGCATTCCAACGTTGACTTCACGTGTGCCCCCTGAAGGCTTGCCGGTGGAAACCTCAAGCTTGGAGGCGTATGACGTTTGAGCGTCACACAGTGCCCAAATCTTAATACCATACTTTGCTGGTTTTGCCGGCATGTACTGCTTGAAATTGCAGCGTCCTCGGAATGCAATTAGCTTCTCGTCCACGTCCCACGCTGTACATTTTTTGCAGCTGGAAATTCCAGCTGCTCCACAGCTCGGATATTGGCGACAGCTTGTTGGCATGGTGCCACTGTGGTCTTCGGAGCTTGTCGTCAAATCGGAGCGTTCTGTTTATTTGCATAAACCACCGATCTGCCATTGCGTCGGCGAACAGCGGACGCCCGGTAAGTTTAGGTAAAAGGTCCAGCAGAGGGTGGGGAAGCAGAGGGATGGGCAGCGGTGGGTGGGGCAGCAAAAGGTGAGACAGCGGTGGGTCGTGGGGATCCAGGCGCCGCAGCAGCAGCAGCAGCAGCAGCAGCAGCAGAGACCATCAAAGCAGGGTGCTTTTCCTTACACATGCGAAGGTGATTTATGAAGGGCACCCGGCTTATTATTATTCCACGGCAATAGATGCAATGAAAGTGCAGTTTTGGTCGACATTGTAGCCCACATCTATGAATGGTATACCCTGTAATAGAAAATAGAGTTTAAACGTTTTAAATAATCATTTACAATTATCATAGACAACATCTTCACAAATGATCAGCTACAACAGGTCACTGAGTGCTTGGTTAGGAGCCATCCAAATAAAAATTATTGATACTGTGACTCACACAAATTGTGTCTCGCAAACTTACCTTCATGTGATACTGCTCGGTCAAAATGGCCCTCCACATGGTCCTTTACCTTGCAGTAGTATGTGGGTTGAAACCATGCGGGCTGGCAGAATGGACAGTGGTACATACTGCAACATGTGTTGCATTTTTGCAGCTCAGGGACAGATGTCCCTCGTTGTATTGTGACATGCATCTGGAAAATAAAGAGAATGAATTGTGAAATCTACCATGTCAATATAATTCTACAGAAAACTAAGGCCATAATAATAAAACTATGATTTTTTTTTTTTAATTGCTCCTGTCAAAAGTATTAGGGATCCCATACGATGTTGCGTGTTTTTCCCAGTGCCTTTTAAAGTCACAAAGAAACGAGGAGGACATTAATACAGAGGTACAGGGAAAATAATGTTACGTAAAATTCTGCATTAGCACAGATGCATTTAAATCTAATATTTTAAACTGATCAACATGACACAATGCGCAGTCAATTTTTAATTGAATGCACATATTTTGCGCTTTTAGCATTTCTTTGACGTAGCCCGAAGCCCTTTAAAAATGACCAATATTTACCCATTCACAAACATACATATATTCATCCGAATGTCAACGTCATTTTGACATCATCATCTAATTAATAAACAACTAGGCGTGCTTATTTACCCATTCACAAACATACATATATTCATCCGAAATTAAATTATTAATGTCAACGTCATTTTGACATTATCATCTAATTAATAAACAACTAGGCATGCTAAAACACTTCATCCTCACTTGCGCTATATATTCTGTCGTCGAGAGAATGTGAGTGTAGCCAGGATTCAAGTTAGCATAAAGTTTTCATTGACGCTTGTCAACTGAATATTACCGTCGCAGTTGTTGTCGTGCATTAAAATAACACAACTCCGTTTTACTTTTAGTTGATTTTGCTGTTAAATTATCTTACAATTACAAGGCCTTTTAAACTTTTTAAGATCCACATGCGACTTATTTGGAATCGGGCATCATCCTTCTGACGTCAAATCCGGCGCAACGTTACTTGCCTAAACCTACCTTTCCCTGAATCGGCCTCCTCCGGGTCTGCAGCTGGACCCTTCTCCGATGTACGCACGCAGCTCTTGGGGGGTGAGGGGGGACCACTGCTTGGTTGTTCAGAGGCCTTGTAGGTTGGTCATTTCGACGATATTTGCAATTATTTCGTCATCAATGAACAATGCAAAGGCCGACTTGGGGCTGCTGATTCTGGCTAACGCGTATAACGTGGGGCCTGGCGTGGGGATTCGTGACGGGACGTAATGTCCAGCCACCTCATGTGTCGGATGCCACATCAATTTTTTGGTTTTTTGAGCTCCATACCGTACCGCCCGATCCCTCCTGGTCCTGCTCGACCGTTCCTTCAGGATCATCGGAGGATCCCTCCTCTTCCGAATCGGAGCTGTCCTCCTCTTCCGAATCGGAGCTGTCCTCCTCGTTCATGTAGTCAGCGTTATCGGGCGAAAATTCCCCCGATGACTCATTTTCGGAAGTGTCCTCTTGATTTTCAGTCGCCCAAATAGCTTGTAGCACCTCCTCTCTGCTACAATTCTTTGCCATGGTTCTCTCTCTCCAGCGTCCAACTCACTCTCGTGGTTGTGGCGGTTGCTCGAATACAAAATACCACCACCTCGCCGCCTTGACCAATCGCGCGCTAATATTTTCAAATCATAATCCAAACATGAAATGGACCAATCAAAGTGGAAATTCAAAAAGGTAACTCCGATCGCTATGCAGAACATCCGTTTGGAAATAAAGACACTCACACGAATGCGTGGATGTACAAAATTCAAAACATAACTTTCTTTTTTGCAAAAGAAAAAAAAAGGTTGTGTCTGGAGGTCCCCCACCAAGCCCTACGAACAATCCCGACTGGAATTGTTCATGCATCGATGCAACTTTGCATCGGGTTGAAGTCGCTGCAAAACAGGCAAAATCATTTGCGACCCTCTGTCTCAGGAGGTTAAATGATCTCAACACAAAAATTTGGCATGCATACGTCTGTACAAGCGAAAACAAAGCAATTGACGTGAAAATCGCGTGAAATGCATGTTTGAACATTAGGTTTATGATGCATTCAAAAATATGAATTATAATGGGTGTCTCAGGTACAAAAAATGTAGATTATGTACGTTGAGGTATCAATGTACGATCTTTTTGCTGCAATGCCTGAGAATTATCAGCAGGTGGCATTATGAAATTTAGGACATTTTAGACACCCCGTTTAAATTTCAGCTCTCGAGTGTTTTTTTTTTTCAATGCTTTGTCTTTGATTTAAAGACGAGAATACACATGTATCTACAATAAATGGACAGTGTAACATGAGGGTTGAACTAGTTTATTGGATCAGGAATTTCTTTTGCTCGGCGACTGCTGATATTCAGAAAATACTCATTAAATTCATTCGCTCTTTCTGCAGTTACTCAATCATGGTATTTTGGTCTTTAATAAAGTACTCTGGATAATCTACTTTTTTAGGACTATTTCTGATTACCTGATTTAGTATTTTCCATATTTCTTGTGTGTTGCTTTTATTCTGCTCTAATAATGCATGGCAATGATCTCTATTTCTAGTTCTTACAGAGATGAAAGTTGACTTTTCTGAAAATTCCGGGGGGGGGAGCGATATATATATA